GCGAATGCGCTGGACTGCTGACAATGAGTTGCGTCCGTTGTCTCCTGATATAAATCGATCGTATGAATAATTATTGTAGGTATGCGTATAACAAAAGTTGTGTCCGTAGTGTTTTACACGCCGAAAACAGTTCTAAGACCGTAAACGTGAAGAAGAAAACGGAAAACGAGCGAAAACGTCCACCATAATATATTTACATAATATGTTATCGACAAAGTGTTGAATATATTATAGTGCGTTCTATTGAATCCCTATTAAACAGTTTGGCAAAATATATATGACATTTTAATGTAATTTTAAACTATAACTATAGGCATGGTATGTTAGGTAAAGTAATATGATGTTTTGAATAGTGTTTAATCGACGTGACCTTTGACCCTACATCTGAAATATTGGAAATATAGAACCGTGGCTCCGACTTCGGCCGGTCTAAGATTTTTATCGGACCATGTTTGTAATATCGTATATTTTTTATGAATTTTGTACACTGCCCACTCGAGGTTCGGCATTCTTTAGAAAGCCTATAGTCGTTAATCGTTATAGTATTATGTAAATGTTATATACTTTTCCCAATAATACCTAATTGTTGGGGAGGCCTAGGTATTTTATGGAATGCCGGATTCAACACTTTTCCGGTAACACATACACCATATAAATGCATTTTGGTACGCACTACTAATAGTAATTCCGGTTAATGCGCCTGAACATCGACGGCGACACCGGAAGTACTTTCCGTTTTGTCCGGACGGTTAAAATATCTACTTTTTACAAAAGAGTTAGGTACTGCACGTATAACGCTATTATACCTAATTTTACCTCGCCGACAATGGCCCACGTTCTTTTGTCGCACGTAATTTTTTGTTGTTGTTATTATTTCATTATATTATAATAAGATTAATGCTTTTCTCGGAGAAAATATTAAAACTATTTTAATATTAATATGCGCGTTACTACACCATCGCTCGTTGGTTCCGTCGTCAAAGTTTTTTCGTTGTTATTCTCTCGTCTATGATTACAGCGGTGGCAATGTACTGCACGTGGATACTAAAAATTCATAATGGGTATAATTGCGTATTCAATCTTAAAATCGATTAAAAAAAAATAAAAAATAATTACCTAAATTATAATTAGTCCGAAATAAAATACTACCGAGAAAATATATTACCCAAGCTTATTGACATTATTCTTTAACTGTTGACCCGTCTGGTATTATTATATTATGTAGTTGTAATGTACACATCATATTATATTATACGACCTCTGATAACGTGCCGGATTCGAAGAAAACTATCATTATAATATTATAATCGTCCGGAAAATGTCAACAAGTAATTTTTACGCAATCGATATTCGTGTTCAATCGGTTATCGAACCGAAGTAAATAATATAATATGATAGATGTACACAATGGTTATATCGAATAAATACAATTAGTTTTTTCACAACAGGTATATAATATTGAACTTGGGGATCTATGGAAAAACGTTTTTTAAGAGTTCAATTAGTTAATTTTCAAATTGCATGCATGGGGGTCTTGTAAATGTGTGCTTGGTAAGTGATCATTAGTGTGTGTGACTGTAAAATAAAATGCGAAGCGTTCCCGCACTCGCATACACAAGTCACCACCTCGGCGTTGCTCGCGTTAACAATTTTTGCTCATTTGTATACAATTTTGTTCCATTCTACCGATCGACCTAAGAACGCAATCTTTTTTCAGAAAAATTATCTGAATTCGTTATATTGCCTACTTGAGATGCGTCAGTTCATATTTTAAGATTTCTGATTTAAGCTCCGAACAATCAACGTTTGATAAATTTCGAAATTTCAAAATATTCAAACTAAATGTATAGTTACAATATAGGTTACAATATATAGTTATTGTGTGTGGGTGTGTGTGGTGGGGGGGAGGGTGAAATTGGGAAAAGTAGACTAACCGATCTCATGTAGACACAATAACAAATTCAAATCAGTTTTAAAAATTATTATCGCATTGCACTAGGTCGATCAGTATGATGGAATAAAAATATTGGTATGTTTTAGCTGAGATAATTGTCCGCCACCGATCCCCTCAAAACGGTGTTTGGACGAAAATTGGGCGTGATGTGCCTATTATTATGCATAATATCGGACTTTAGTTGCATCAAGTAAAATGCGACTCTAATTACCATTTTTCCAATTATTCAAAAACGGTTAAACGCGTTGAACCGTAATAAATTAATGCATTTCCCGAAGTGAAATAGTTTCGAAAATAGCTCCGTCGTATAGTTTTAACCGTCATAGGGGTATACTCACACCGAGTTGAGTGTTACATAGTATACCTAATATACTATAATATTATAATATATTACAGATTGTCCAACCGAAAACCGACGCCGACGATATAACTTAAACGATTATAAATTATAATATATTACTATTATTATTATGCGGCCGGGTCGAGTGTCGTCCAATCATCGGCGTACCTACAACTGTCCGAGAACAACTGTTCAAAACTCCACCGGTAGTCATTTATAAACGGAAATCTGGTACACACACATATATTATATATTATTATTATTGTTATTATTATTGTATTCACTGCACCGTAATAATATAATTTTATAATAAAACGTCAACGTCGCGTATACATACGTTATATTATTATATACCGCAGCATAGGTATATAGTGTATTACACTGAATAAACGTATATACAACAACCCCAGGGCCGGCTCCGGATTAATAGCAATAATAATTATTCACCTCGTTATCCTATGCAAATTCGGACGTGCTTCTCGATTGGTAAAAGAGAGCGTGGGAGTGGCGGACGTATATGTCGTATAATATATAGTGTTGTGCACCGTGTGCGTGCTGTAAATATACATTCGGTCCACCCGGCAGTGTGTGTAATAATAATAATAATAATGCGATATATGCAGACTACGTACCTATATATATGTATAGTGACCGCGAACGCACGTCGGCACTAGAAAATAAAATTCCAAAAACCGAACCCATCATATCATACGCTATGCACGTGTACACGGCGGCGGGGCCGGTGGCGAATGTGACGGTATAGAGAGGAGAGGGAGCTGAGAACTCGGCGCTAGGAGATGGGATATTATATAATCGCTACGCGCGTTGTCACGGCGTGGTATTTAGACGCGGCGAGTATCGAGATCGAATTCAAAAGTCGTCGCGTTTACGATGTGCTCGGCTCGGGGGAGAGCATATTTGGATCGGCGAAGGGGCCGGGAAACGAGATAAAAAAAAAACTTTGGACCCTCCTCGGAAAAGTATAGATAGGTGTACCTTTACAATATACACGCTGAAGATCGGTCCGAGGTGCGTGTCACCTATTCGGTGGCGAGACCCTTTACGCATTCGCGTCACGCGCTCGTCTCGCACACATCGCACACACTTAATATATATACATATATACATATATACATGTATATACCGTTAAAAGCATTACTATATTACCGGTCCTACTCCCCCCCCCACAGGCGCAGGAATGCTAAAAACGCTTCTGGCACACACACGCACACACAAGCGCGAGCACACTTATACGAGGGTCGTATATATTACGAGCCTATATTATACGGCGTTTGACATCGTGTCTGATCGTGACGTGCGGCGTATGCGCCATTCATCACGGTTCTCACGGCGGCGTAGACGTTGCAGAATTACAATATATTATTGTTGTCGTGTAGGCATGATATAATGTAATATTATTGTATATTATTATAATGATATGCGCACGCGGTTCGTCCGTGAAGGTATAGGTACGTATATAATATATAGACGCGAGACCGCGGCGAAGAGACGTATAGCGGATCCGAGCAAAGGCCGATATGAAAATGGTAATTTTTTTTTTTTTTGTCGCTCGACCATATTATATAATTGATACATTATAGAGTTCCGTTAGCACATTATTATCGTTAGGTTTGCGGACTCAAAATTTGTCTAAGCATGTGCGTGCGAATAAACAATTAGCAAAATGATCGTATGATATCAATAAACGCTCTGAGCCTCTGAACCTATCCACAGGAAAAAACAATACACGAAAATATGCACACCTATAATATGAGATCCGATAGGGTTGTTAAAAATAATAACATTTGTTGGATATATTATGCTTTAATCAGGCTTGGATCTGGAAATGAAAGAAGGGCTAGACGAAAATAGTGACTTCGAGTACATAAAAGCATAGGCAATAAGTTTAAGTTTTTATAGTGAATAAAATATTCACCGTACATGCATATTATAAAATAATAATAATAACAAAATTTTTATTTCATAATATATGATTTATATAATTATTAAATACGTGGACAACAGTGAAATATTTTAAATACCTAAGACCTAAGGGGGATTTCAGCCACCATAGCCCGCCACCCTCCCCTTGAAACCACGCCTGATGCATTATATATTTTTGTAAAATATAATGAATTATTTATGGAAAGTAAAACTCTGTGTCATCCGTCCTGAAATCTAATCATCATTCAACGAGTCTTATTGCGATCGGTATTGTCGGTTTTAATATTAAATTCTAACTGCACAGACTGCAGGAGTGTCGTCCGTGGGCGTCTTCGTACATCAAGTCGACTTAATTTAAAACCTAATTTCAACATCGCTTGAGTTTGTTGTACAAAAATTGTGCAGATCGTATCAAACCAATTAAAAACAAATTAAAAAAAAAACCGCATAGAGATTATTTACCATCATGCGTTCAATATATGAGGGACTTATTTGACGTCTTCTATTATAGAATATTATGCAATATTTTCACCATCGTCACGGCTGAGTCATGACTACAACATTTGCTCTAGCCTCGTGTAATGACGCGCATGCGCGTATGCGTTCGATTAGTCGTCTCGCGCGGTACCTATACAATAATATATTGAATTATTATAATTTCGGGAGATAACAGAACGGAAGAGGCGAGAAGAAGAAAAATAGCGACGACTCGCAGACTAGCATAAATTTATCGTGGTCGGTCGCCGGTCGGTCGGTCCGACCTTAACGAACGACGACGAATTTCTTACGACCGTCGTCGTCGTCGGGGCAGGTGCGAGCAGCGTTCGCGTTGCAGTTTATCGGCCGATCGCCCGCGGCAATAACGATTTGGCACTCGGCTGGAAATACAACAACTCGTCTTCGCGAAAGCGCTGTCACCGACGACGCCGCATACCGAATATAATATCGATCGGCCGGAGATTTACGTCGTCGTCGTCGGTGCAACGCGCGACCGTAATCTCCGGCGAATCTCTTCGAAATAAATCGTCTCTTCGGCCGAGCCATAGCACCTATATACAGAGGTGTAAATGCGGAGAGACGAACACGTAGGTAGGTATAGGTATATACATATTACATTATTATTAAATACGAAAAAAGACAATACCGCCGTCTGTGCCCCTCGTTCTGTCTATCTTTTTCACACACACACGCTGTGGTTGTATAGCTTCAGTGGATATCCTATAGTGCGAGTGTGTGCGGTTTTGTACACACATAATCTCTCTCACACGCACATTCTATCACTCTCTCCCTCGTTCGCCCCCCCCACGTCTCTCTCACTCACTCCCTCGCCACTCTCTTTGTATCTCTTTCGCTCGCGATCCCCGCGTGTATAAATCAGTTTGGCTCCGGTTCAACAATTTGTACCAGTTTGCTTTCCGATCGTTAATAATTAACTTCTACTTTTTTTCTTTATTCCCCGTCTCACCCCCCGGCACACACGGCCGTCAGCCTTTTATTCGTCGTCCTCTCTCATTCGATCGGCGTGCGATAAATTTCCACCCTCTCTGCGGCGGCGGTGGCGGCGGCCGAGTTCAATTTACTCGCACGTCCAGCTACACTGAAGCACACACACACACACACACACACACACACATAATATATATGCTATATAGGTACTCGATGCTCGTTCTGGCCATCGATCACACCGCCGCCGCCGCCGAGTTCGTATATAAATATAATATAATAAATGAGCGCGCGAGGCGGTGTGTGCCCTTTTAATCAATTTAATTAACAGTCATTCCGCCTATTATTATTCCCGATCGTATTTTATATTATTATATGCCGCCACACGATAGCTTTTTTCACCCCTCTCTCGCCCCGCAGTGCAGTGCGATGATATGGCTTTACACGCGTATTACGGCGGCATATACGACAATTACTGCACAATATAATAATAATAATAATAATAATAATAATGTACACGGTCGTTCGCACCGCGTGTAATTTTTTCCGGTTAAAAACAAATAATAATGACATCCATCGGGGGGCGCTTTTCGTTTATATCTGTCATTGCCGAACAGTCGTCGCCCCCTCACCACCACCCACCCCAGCAAGAACCGAAGCCCACCCGCACCCATCAACCGCCCGAAACCGTTGGCGCCCGTGTAAATTATATCGCGCCAGGCTCGCAGCTGCAGCGATAGCGCACGCACTTTCGACACCATATTATATTACAATATATTATATTATTATTATTATTTTGAGGGAGAATTTTTAGAAAAACACATTTTCAAGTTTCAACACGTATCTATATAACACCACTCACGTCTCTGCGCATGCGTGATATAATAACATCAGTTGTAGCGATACACACAGACACAGTATATCATAAGCGTGTAAACACCTAAAAACGTCCCGCCCGTCGAGCCCGAATCGGAAATCATTCGATTCCCGGAAACTGCGCCAAACTCGGGACACCGAGAGCCCCCGCCACCTCCCCAATGCAGCTCTGCACCTCTGACAATAATGATTTACATTTTACACCATATATATATTACATTTACATTTCCGCGTCGTCGGGTGTTTTCGAGTGAGTGGCTAAATGTTCATTCTGTCGTCATCAACTACACATAGTACGCTGTATTGTGGGGGATGGCGAAGTTCATCATTCGAAGGATAAATAGCGATTTAAAAAAATTAAACAAATGAGTTATGATTCTTTTACCAAGTAGTGAAAGTAGGGCTAAACGGGGACATTTTAATATTTAAGTCTTATCCTGGTCATACTAGCTGATTTAAAAACTTAATAAATTGAATCCTTGGGATAACAACATCATATAATAAAATTGTCATGTTCACTTATAAATTACCTTATGAGTAATAAATTAAAATCATTACACTTACATTTAAATAATTAAATAACGACATAATCCGTAACCACCGATCTCTACTAACAGTCAGACTGGTTTATAAAAATAGATAATAATAAAAATGAACAAATAATAATTGTTATCCCTGCGGTCGTCGACGGTGTACGATGATAACACAAATATCATTGGTAATATAATAATAATTCTCCAAAATAATAATAATAATAATAATAATTGTGAAATAACCACTACAGTACAAAAATGCAAAATATGTGTTATTACTTTTCAACCAAAATCTTCAAAATATAATATTATATTGTAATATTATAATTGTATTATAATTTATAATATTGATTTGTTATCCAATAATAGCTAGGCGATGAACATGATGGATTAAATTAAATATAATATACACTGTAATATTTGTATTATTGTATTCTCATGAGTGTTCTATAATTTAATAGTAAAAACAACAATAAGCCATTTGATACTATCTCAAGGCCTAAATACTCAATACTCAATACTCGAAAAATTATGTAATGTTGTCTAAAAGATTTTAAATCGTAAATTATTTTTAGATATTATTACATAAACAGTTAGTATAATATTTTATGGCGGACGTTAAATTGCGAGTGGAATCGTGTTGATTTTTCTTAATATATTCGTTGACCTCTCGATAAATATAATTGGAATCGTGCTGCCAAAAAGGCAAAACGAGTAAAGTCGTGAGTCTCAATGGCCCACAAGTGTTAGCTCTCCAATCGAAACAGTAATATATTAGAAACACACTTGAAGTGGTAATTAATTATATCGGTTACAAGATTACGGATAATGTCATATGAAAAATAAAAGTCTATAAAATTAAAGATGCGTTTTCTGTCAAATTGTCTTAGTCATTATCTTATACGTACGAGTTACATTGTTATTTATAGTTAAATACTATCACGTTTACATTATTGTTATATTATTTATATATTATACTTTACTGTTCGTAGGTATTAAAAACGAACGATTAATACATTTGAGAATAAATTGTTTTGTGTTTTCATCATGGAATTAAAAAACTAAGTTACACTTTGATATTAATCTATTCGTACGATATTTTATTACACTAATATTAATAGACCGTTATTAAAACAATATTATCTGATTGATTATTTTTTCTCTTTCTATAGCTGATTTAGTTTTAGTTAATTATTTAAGTAGAAGACTATTTATTAGTTAAGAGAAAAACTAGTTCTCTGTATTTGGTCTGTAAATTTGGTTATTAAGATAATTGGTGTGTTTTTTAAGATAAAAGTAAGTTTATTTGATGAGGAAAGACGGATTCATTTTGTTTCACAACGTAATTAAACAGATAAAAAAAAGAATCACTTAGTGTTTGTGTTTAGTGCTATTAAGTGTCTTTGTACTCTTTGTAGGTACCTTCTATATATTTGTATATTTAATCACGTTGCTTTTACATTTATTTTTTTTGTTGATTTTAAGTTAGGCCTATACGTTATTTTATGTATCAAAGCCTGGGACGATATGATATTAATTAAATGCTAATATAAATACTTAAATATTTGTGAAATTAGCTTTCAATTCCAATTAATGTCGGAACAATATTATTTTTGTTTATATACCTTAAGATCAAAGGGACTGATTTGTTTTAAGTGAGCATATAATTTCGAAGAGTCATGGTTTTCTGTTTGCTCTAAGTAAATTTGAATTATATTACATAATTTATTGTTAGTTGGTATTTTCTTATAAATACCAATATTCGTTTTAATCTTCTAAGTAGGTTTTAGGTTTTATGATTATTCCAAAAACCATCTTTGACAATACCATATACATAATTCATGTTTAACCCATAATATTATGTTCATTTTTTTAAATTAAATGCGCATGCAGGATGACTCATTAAACATGCTTTTACTCTATATATGTTTTCCTTTAATAATTAACTTATTAATTAAGTCCTGCATTTTTTAACTATAAATTAAACTTTCTAGGATAAAAAAAAATAATCCTTCAGTACTAACTCAAAATCCACTCGTTCGAATATCCAATTGTAAATAAGTACATCAAAATTGTCGAAATAGTCATCTGATTCATAATCTAAGTCGAATAAAATATATCACTGCGGTTCATAGTAGAACCGAAACACTAGTAATGAAATCGGATGATTAGATCGGAGAGTAAAATATTATAATAATATTTTATTTATGTATGCGTCACAAACGTCTAGGATGGTGGGCTTAAGCTGGTCCGAGAATACGGTCATTAAACACGAGGTGTAGGGTGGAAGACTTTGGTCGGCCAGCGAAGATCTTTGGATAAAATAATAACAGCTATACATTAAATTATGTGAGGTGGTAAGGCCTGGGCACACCACGGTTATCGCCATGTGGTATTTCCAATTGCAAAGGCTAGCACTTGCGATGTTTGGATTATATACCTATTTGCTGAGGAAAGTAGACTTAGGCACATGAGATCAATCAACATTTTATAAATTATTAACTATACCTATAAACGATGCTAAATGGGGGACATTGATAACATTATCTAGCATCGTATGTGATACAAACAAATTGGTTGCCTCCCCTCCCCCCAATTTCCTATCCGAGCACTACCTAGAGTTGTGTTAAGCTTCAACAATTTTATTGAAACCATTTTTAGTTGTTTAAAACTTGTTTTATTACGTTATGTTTACCATAAAAGTACAAGTACCTTAAATCATGATGTTGCATTTTTATAGGGGTACAGGTATTATGTTATAACGACCTACTGAGCCGAAAAAAATTCAATGTATATAGGTATGAGAAGACGTGTGATAGTATGTTGTGGTATGTAGGCCTTACGATTAAAAACAACAGACGATTTCAACTCGATGAAATATAAAATTAATAAAAATTAACTTTTTTTAATGAATTATTTTAATATTATTATACTATAGTCACTATAGTATAGTGTCTCTCTGCACTCCGAGCTAAGCTCCGATAGATCACGCGGTTTGTTATCATTATAATAGTATATTATATTATTATTATCATATTTCGCTCGGTGTAATATTATATATATATATCCTACCTTAACGTGAGTATTCCGATTGTGCACTCCGTGCGATAGACCGTTTTCCCAATTCCGTTCGTTTTTGGTGTGCAGTTGACTGTAATAGTACTCGACCGATTGGAATTCCTCCGCACTGCA